TGTGTGTGTGTGTGTGTGTGTGTGTGTGTGTCTGTGTGTCTGTGATGTGGGAGGCCTTTGATTCCAGCTCTGGGAGGACAGCAGAGGAGCTGAGGTCCTCTGTCCTCTGTGCTCCTTGGGGGTAACTTCAAGGAGCCTGGCCAGACCCCTCCTCGCTGAGGAAGCATCTTTCGGCTCACGGGCGGTCGGGCCAGGAGGAGAGCCTGCCTTCTGGCATTCACCACCCACTTCTAGCCAGACGCTGGCAATACTCTCAGCTCAGAGTCAGAGAGCCAGAAGGTGTGTGAGGCTGAGGGCTGTCTTCACCATGGGCATGTTTGACACGGGGGCTCTTTCACTTTGTTTTTCCTTCATCTTGTCTCTCTCTCTCTCTCTCTCTCTCTCTCTCCCACCAGCTCTCTGTGTCCTGTCTGCACTCTGGCTGCTCTGGAATATTCAGAAGAATAAAAAACCGTAATTCTTGTGCGAGCAGGGCCTCCTGCTCAGCCAGCCTCGGCGTGTGTGAGGCCCGGCTGTGGCGGGGAATGGAGGCTGGCGCCATGTTGGATCTGTTGGCGACATTTCCCACCATCTAACTGAACATCCCCTGTTTTTCTGGGCTGATCTGCCCTGAGGGGAGAGGGTCACAAGAACGTGAAGTGTCTCCATGAGGCCTCGGGCTTTCAGATTTGTGTCTCATTTCAGAGAAGAGCTCTCATTGCTGGTTTGAAGAGAGAGAGGCCATTTCTGAGGATTAGTGGATTCTAGAAAAGATACCTGTTTTCCTTAAATGGAGGCAAATAACCCAAAAGAAATGAACAGCATCAGGCACAAGAAAGAAAACTGTTAGGTTGGCAGGTGTCTAGGGCTCTGGGTGCCCCACCTCCTTAGGCTGGTGGCCTCTGATTGGTGTGGCTGCCCAGCCCTGGGGGGAACTGGCTGTGGGCCAAGGGCTGCACCCAGAGAGCGTGTCTTCTCTCGGTTACCATACCTTGTGGCACACTCGGCCCCCATCTTCCCTTTATTTCAGTGAGGAGACATCATGGTGGCCGGGCAGTAGCCAGGCCGTGAACAGTGGTGTGCCCGGGGCTGGCCCTTCCTCCCCTGACCCCGACAGGGTGACGATGGTCATGTCGTGATGAGGGCCGGTGTGCCGTGCTGAAGAGAGCTTTGACATCAGGGTGAATCCCAACCCTGCCTCTCCCTGGACATGTGATCTCAGATAAGCTTTTGAGCCACTCAGAGCCTCAGTTTCCTTACCTATAAAATGGGGGTAACAAGAGCCCCTTCCTCGGAGGATCACGTGAGATCACTTACGTGAAGTGTCTAGAATGGTATCTGCCACGTAGAGGTCACTGCACAGACAGTAGCTGTCATTATGGTAGCTGCCGCCATGCTGTGAGTGGACTAATCTATGGGTCCTCTAGACCCTAGACCCTGTTTTCGAGGGCTGTACTTAGCCAATTTCCTCTTCCACTCTTACACCGTCTTCTATTTCTACCGGTAGGAAGGGGAGGCCTCTCTTGTGTAGGCCACTGAACAGCACTGTTCACACTGGCGTGCACACCAGTCTTGGGGTGAAAGACAGAAATGTGGCTCCATAGGGTTAAATACTCTGCGCTTCAGAGCCCTCAGCCTGGAGCCCTCAGTGAGAGAAAGCCCCCATTTGCTCCCACCGACTGGGGACAAACGACTTTCTTCTCATGGCCGGCGCCGGCTGGAAGGGACCGCTCCGGTGGCTGATGTTGGCGGACAGCTCCCGGTGGGCCAGGCGCCCTTAAAGTTCTTCATGCTTTCTTTGGACAAGGGGCCCCGTGTGTGCATTTTGCACCCGACCCTGCAAATTGTGTAATCTGCGCCTGGTCAGGAAGTCTGAGGCAGGGCTGGTGGCAACCTGGGATTCTTGTCTCCTTGGCCGGTAGCCGCCTCCCATCTCTAGTCTCGTCTGCTCTGCATTAACTGCGTCAGTCCCCAGACTTCCTGGTTGCTGACTTTTGACGCTCTCCCTGCTCTTAATGTCTGTGTTCCCCGATTCCTCACGGTTGTCCCCATCTTGTGTTTCACCCTGTGGCTTGCCAGACCCTCGCCTCTGTTTCTTCGTGTGTTCCTGCCTGGCTGCCTGATCCCAGGGTCCCTGCCGGCCCCTCCTCCTCCCTTTCCACCTCCCCAGGGTCTCTTCAGGGCATGGCCTGATAATTGTCTGCAGCCAAAACCCGGGTTCTGAGGCCAGCAAGCCGGCCACAGGGCTGTGTAAACAGGCTATAGATGTGTCCCTATTTGGGTAGCTCCACAGGAGAAAAATAACAAGTTAGAATTCCAAGAATGCATAACATTTGAAGATTCCTTAGGCAGGGTATCTTCCTGTAGGCAAATGTGTCACTCGGATGGGGAAGAAAGAAGTGACTTCCCACCAGGAGGGCCAACTGTTGAGAAAGCAGGGGGTTTGTGCATGAATTACAGGGAGAAAAAAATGTTTATGTCTTATGTTGCCAGGAAGTGGTTTTCTTTGAATGGCTTAGAAATGTGTGTGTGTGTGTGTGTGTGTATTTTTAATAACTTCATTTTAATGTTAAAAACATTTTTTAATGTTTTATTTATTTTTGAGAGAGCGAGAGAGAGACAGAGCATGAGTGGGGGAGAGGCAGAGAGAGAGGGAGACACAGAATCTGAAGCAGGCTCCAGGCTCCGAGCTGTCAGCACTGAACCCAGAGCAGGGCTCGCACTGACAGACTGAGAGATCATGACCTGAGCTGAAGTCAGACGCTTAACCGACTGAGCCACCCCTGTGCCCCTTTAATGTTTTTTTTTTTTTTAAATGGCCTTTGGCTAAGTAATAATGATATTGACCAGTTTATGAGATATTTATGAGCAAATAAAAATACAGGGTGTTCAGCTGAATCTGAATTTCAGATAAACAACAGATAGCTTCTTTAGCATAAGTATGTCCCAGATATTGATGGGCACCCTGTCCTTTACCTTGTGATTGGGGTAACCCCATACCATGCCTGCTGTCAGCAGTAGTGTGTGAACCTCAGTCAGGAGCCCCTGGATGTTGAGCCTCTCCTATATGCCAGTCACCTGTGTGTATTATCTCATTTAATCCCCTCCCCCACCTTTTAATCCCCTTTTACAAGGGAGGAAAGAGGCTTTGAAGTGCTAAATAACTCATGCGAAGTCATATGGCCAATAAGTGACAGAACCTGTAATTGGACCTGGGCCTGATCTGAAAGTCCATACCATTTTCTAAGACTTACCCCTCTCCCCGAACTCTCTCTCTCTGTCTGTTAGAAAAGTTCAGAACCCTCTCCTGTACCATCCCAATGTAGACAGACCCTTAGCAGGACAGAGGTACTCTTATATCCGTCAAGAGGAAGCTGTTACTTATTTTGAGAGAAAGAGAGAGAGAGTGTGGGACAGCGGCAGAGAGAGAAAGGGAGAGAGAATCCCAAGCACGCTCCGCACGGTCCGTGCAAAGCCCGATGGGGGGGCTCGATCTCATGAACCACCAGATCGTGACCTGAGCTGAAGTCAGATGCTTAACCGACTGCCACCCAGGCGCCCCCGGAAAGCTATTTTTAAAGCTAGAAATAACCAGTAAAATCCATGTGGGAAACCCAAGGTAGAGGTGGAGAAGCCCCAGGTTTTGTGCTATTCCCAGAGGGTGGCTGGTGGTCCTGGAAAGCAGAAAACAAACAGCAGACTGAACCACCGAGGCAGGAGCCCTAATGGGGTAATTAAAGCCAAATAAAGTGGATTGAGAGTGTGTGTGAAAAGGATTGACTTGCAGGGACGGCTCCTCGGGGAGCCGGGAGAACGGAGAACGTCAGGCGGACTGAGAATCCGGCTCATTGAGTTTTTGTTGCTGTGTGCTCAGGAGACCCGTGCTTGGAGGGAGTTTGACCTTGGGCCTGGGGCACTTTGCAGGAGGCCGTTTATGACGCTGGCTGTTGAACACAGGCCTCGTATGATCGCGATCCTTACCGTCATTAGTGGTTTTCTCCCCTTTAGCTTTCATGGGCATATAACGTATATGAATTTAAGGTGTACGATGCGATGCTTAGAAATAGGTATGAATTGCAAAACTGTGACCCCCATGAGGTTACTTAATACCTCCGTGCCTTCACATAAGTATGGTTTTTTTGAGTGTGTGGTGATAACATTTAGGATCTACTCTCTTCGGCATCGTAGAAGTATAGACTACAGTATTGTTAATTATAGTCCCCGTGCTGTGTGTTAGCTCCCCAGAGTTTATTTATCTTGTAGCTGGGAGTTGGTTTTACTGTCGTTAGTGTTGATTAAAGAGTGTTTCCTGTCTTTCTGTTTCATCTTGTGATGGGGGCTTTAGCTCTCTTTTTGTTTGGTTTTAACTTAAATGGCCGGCCAGAGTCATTCCATTGTGTAGCACCTGCCGCTTGAAGGCGAAGAAGGAACTGGTGAAGAGAGTAGGCTATCTATTTTCTGGTTCTCCAAGATCACTCCTCAGCTTTGCAAAGGGAAGATCTAGGTTTGAATCCCGGCTCAACCAATTACCGACCAGGAGATATTGAGACAGTTGCCCTATAGCATCTCATAGCCTCGGTTTCCTCAGCTGAAACTCAGAATGATGGAACCTGCCTCCCTTAAACTTTGTAAGGGATCAGGAAGATGTAAATTGCCTTGCATGAATTGCTACTTGGTTGCTATTATGCAAACAGCCAGCTTCCGCTTTGAACACAGGGCGTTGGTAGACCAGTAGCTGTTATTCTTAGTCTACTTTAGCACACTTCTAACAAGAGATTCTGATTGTATCATGTTTGGATGCCAAGCCACTCTGACCCCAGGGTCCTTTTCTACCTGAAATGAGAGTCTTCTAAAACAATGCCTCCTGTTAGGAGACAATGGGAACAGATAATAGGTGTGGTTACCAAAATAGGGACCATTTGGGGAGTGTCTCAAACATGTTAGGTGGAAAAATACTGTATTCTAATTTAAGCTTAGAATACATCTCCATTTTTCTGGGCCACCAAGAACATGGAAGCCATCATTTTTCTGATTGTTTGTTTTTAAAGTTTATTTATTTGGAGAGAGAGAAAGACTCACTCAGGGGAGGGACAGAGAGAGAGACGGAGAGAGAGAGAATCCCAAGCAGGCCCTGTGCCGTCAGCAGAGTCCAACTCGGGGCTCATTCTCACAAACCCTGAGATCATGACCTGAGCCAAGATCAAGAGTTGGATGTTCAACAGACTGAACCACCCAGGCATCCGTGTCTGATGTTTTTGTGAACATCTACCTGCACCAGAAATTATGTTAGAGGCAGACATGGTCCCCCTGCTCTTAATGGTGCCTGGCGGGTGATACATATGTGAAATAGAATCACACAAATAAATATTTAATTACAGTTGTGGTAAGTGCTATGAAGGAAGAAGTCAGGGTGCATGTGAGTCCAAAACGGAGAGACCTACCCTTAATTTTCTGAGATAACTCTCCCTACTCCCCCACCCAGGAAAAAGGATGTCCTGGGAAAGCTCATTACATGAAAGCAATCTAATGAAGCAGAATGGAACCCAGCATGGATTAGAAAGGAGAGACAAGGATGTGACATTCCAGATTAGACCTTCCTTCATTCCTTGTCAATGGGCTCATGGGCCAGTACTTATTTTGCTAACTGGCTAGTGGAAATAGTGTCCTCCTTGGACTTCTGATTCTGTTTCCAGTGAAGATCTGGTTGTGTTAAGTTGCTTGGATGATAGCAGCAAGAAATTAAGATGATCAATTTAAGGTATGGGTGTCAGCACCAAGCAGCCCCTGGACACAACCAAATCTCAAAAAACTGAGACTGGAATCATCAACTGTGCCCAGCTCCCAGGGGTTGCACCGAGCAGAAAAGTGATACTAAGGAAGCATGTCAGATTGTAGAGCATTTCAGTAGGAGACAGATCTGAATGGTAACAGTTTCCAGGAGCTTCTAAGACTCTATACACGGAGTCCCTTTTGGGAGCCAGGCTTTCTCTGCTCCATCTCAAAAAATCCAGAGAGAGGATGCCCTGCTCACCCCAGGCATGAGCTTGCTTTGGCAGCTTCAATGAGAGGATGGGGCCCGACATGATCTTCCACGTTACAGCTCAACTCTGGGACTCACCTTCCTTGGATGCTGGTCTCAGGTTTTTTTGTTACGTAACTTTATGTTTGGCCATGTGGCTTGTTTCTTTTCCAATTTGTATCGCTCAAGTTGTTATGAATACCTGAGGAATGGAGGTCACCATTCCTTCAGAGCAGTCTCCTGTGAGAAAAGAAATAAACATTCAAGCTGCATACTTGCTTCACCGTCTTTGCGTCGCATTCTATTTAAGATGGCCCTGTAGGCACTATGGTAGATTGGGTCGAATCCCTGAACTTAGTCTTGAATTCATCTTGGCTTTTGGGAGAACAGTGCAAAGTTATAGTAGTATGTCGAGCACCTGCATGGCTCAGTCGGTTGGGTGTCTGGCTCTTGCCTTTAGCTCAGGTCATGATCTCAGAGTTTGTGGGTTCGAGCCCCATGTTGGGCTTTTGTGCCGATAGCGTGGAGCCTGCTTGGGACTCTCTCTCTCCCTCTCTCTCTCTGCCCCCCCACCCCACCTCAAAATAAATAAACTTAAAAAAGAAAGTTATGGTAGTAAATCATACCTGTTCCCTCACCAAAGCCTTAGTTGAATGAATTCTCCAGTGGTTGTATAGAATAGGGTGGAGGTGTCAGTGATGGGGAAATTCTATCTTTTAAGGAAGGAGAGGTGAAACAATTTTCTCATGGGCAAGGATTTTTATTTTTCAAATGGGCGTTTGAACTATAATGACTTACTGGCAGCTGTTTAATGGTTTTTGCCTCTTTGTTTTACAGAAACAAACAATCACTGCTGTCAGAAAAGAGGTAATTAGTTTCCCAGTCCCGGGGAAGTTTGGTTTTTAAATCCTCTCACAAATTGTATGTACTTTGGCTTTATGTTCTGCCCTCAGTAATGAAATGAAAAACCACGTGTAATGTTCAAACAGTTGTCTCCAAAGTAATGGGCAGCACAGAATGACAAAGATTCTTTTGTAAGATCTACATGGATTGGTGCTGACGCTTGGGATATGAGACACCCTCAGAAGGCACAGATCTGAGGGACGTGGGAGTGAATGCCACAGTGTCTGCCTCCCCACCCCGGCCCCTGCTCCTACAGTTAGGGGGACATTCAGAATCTGAACAGGCACACTACCCATTTTGGCAAATTTCATGACCAGGGCACAAGACAGAGCCCTGGGAAGCGTTGGCTGTTGAGGTTAGACCTGCTCTGTCAGCCAGGAGCACCTGAGGGAAAAGCCAAGCATCTGTCCCCATGTCTCGATTTAATGTTCCTTAGAACTTTTTGCTTTTTCAATTGGTGCCTTTTCCCGGACTGATACATGATGGGCTGCAGAGGCCCCTAGTTTGGAGCTTGGGGTCACCTGTCTACTGTGAGCCTGTGTCCTGTTAGTACCAAGGTGGGTGGCTTGAGGGGATGGAATCGGGGGCTGTGACAGATAAATGGCTCCTGGTTCTGGAGGCCACATGGAAGTGCCAGTGTTAGTGACACTCAAGGTGGGGAAGTTGGACATCTTCTAACCACTGTGTCTTTTTCAGATCATGTATTACCAACAGGCCTTAATGAGGTCCACGGTGAAGTCTTCGGTGTCCCTTGGAGGGTATGTCCCTAATTAGTTGGTCTTGCTGAGGTTTGAACAAGAGGTGGGCAAGAGGAGAACTTTCCACTTTCAGGCAAACTTGAGCAGTCATGAGTTGACATAAGAGCCTAAGGAACTCTGAGGGACAAAACCAGTCCCTTGAGGATTAAGTTCCTGGTTCCTCAGTCTGTGTAAGTGTCCAGGTCTCATCTTGGGTTAGCCAAGATCAGGAATGGGCGTTTTTATACAAGTCTCGTCTTTCTTGGGATCCACTAAAGTGAGGATTGAGAAGGAGGGAAGAGTTGAAAGTTCATGAACTGTTCCTTGGGGCTCCTCAGTGGCCTGTGTTCCTATCATTATTCACTTGAACTTATTACAGATATTTGAGTTATGTTTACTGATTCAACGCACTATCAAATGTCCATTGTTAATCTTTGATTTAAAATCCAGTGATGATAAATTGGAAATTTACATTCTATTTATTGAACATTCAGGGTACCTTGATCCAGTCCCTCATAGGATATTATTTGGGAGACTCAAAAGGGTTTAGTGCCCCCCAAATGTAAGCACTTGTCCTTTTAAGATGTGGAATTCATTATAGGCCCACCTTGCTAACTCTAAGATTTTCCTGCACACATGAAAATGGACTTGGCTTACTTCTGGGGGGTGGGGGCACAGTGTGACTAATCATTTATTTTGGCCGTGTAAGATTTCAGTAATGGTACTATTCAAGATGGAAGGCGTTGTGTTTTGTCTAGTGCCTTTCTTCCAGTACTGTTAGGGGTTAGTCTCTTCGAAAAATCTTCAAATATCTTTTTTACCCCTTCCCCAATCCCTAGTTTGCAAACATACCACCTGCCTGATAAAATGTGCCCTGACCGCACCCACATTTTCCAATGACTTCTGACTGCAGCTCCGTCACAGATGGGAGTGGACCCCTATACTCCGTGGACATTCACCTTGGGTTATAATGATCATCCCTGTTCCATGACAAAGTAAAAACCGTCTCCTCCGATGTTCCGGAGACCCGATCTAATGAAACCAAGCAGGAAGAACATTGAAGGAGACTCGAAGGCTGTTGGATATTTTTACCCCCGCTTTCTAATTTTTATTTCTTTTAGTGCCTTGTTACCGTTGTATGACGTCATTTGTGTTTGGACCTGTGACGTAGTTTTCTTTGTTCTTCCCTTGAGTGGCTCCACTGTAGGGGTGTTGCTGAGAAATAGGAGGGTCTGGGGAGAAATGAAAGCGAGGGCTCGAGTTCTGCACAGAACTCTACACCTCATGCTCGGGTGTATCTCTAGGGCATGGATTCCGTCCTATCACGGCAGGTGTCTCATGTACACCGTGGATACGATTCCCCGCCTAAGGGGTAGAGGCACAGCAGGCTTTCCCAGACTGCCCGGACACCGGGAAATGTGCTGGCTACGAAGGTCTAACTCACATAGAAGGAATTAGTTCTTGCTCACATTTGCAAAATTGGGCTTCACACCTCAGTGAGCCCACAGGTTTTGGAGGATGAATGCATTATCCTGATAAAGGATAGAACCTGACGTGGCAGCAGAATCTCAGAGAGACCATGGCTGCCTCATGCTTCCAAGCAGGTGCCGAGACGCTGGTTCGAATACGGGCACACGGCGTCGGCTTTGAATTTTGAAAACGCACGATAAAAGATAAAGAGCCTTTATTTTAATGAAATAGGTACAGGAGAGAGACTGCAAAGGGATTGGATGGGGAGACAGTGTTTCATCTCCCAAGTAGAGCCGGGACCAGATCCCGTCGAATACCTGCCGTTCCCGAGGGCTATTAGAGCGTTTTTCTAAGAAGACAGTAATAAGTATGTAACTAAATCGATAAAGAGGAAGGAGGGCAGGCTGGTCAATCAACCTGAGTATTGATTTTGTCTCTTGGGTGTTGAACTTCTAGGAAATCCTTTTCCGTTTGCTTTTCAGGATCGTCAAATACAGCGAGCAATTTCTGTCCAATGATGCCATCATGTCAGGCTGCCTCCCTAGCAATCCTTGGATAACAGATGACACCCAGTTCTGGGACTTGAATGCCAAATTGTATGTATTTGATACATTGGTGGTTTTTTTTTTAAAATAGGTTTTCGAGTTACAATTCACATGCCATACAATTCACCCAATTAAAGCGTGCAGTTCGGTGGTTTCTACTGTATTCCTAGAGTCGTGCAACCATCACCACAGTTAATTTTAAAACATTTTCATCACCCAAATAAGAACCCTTCCCCCCTACCCCTCCCGCCCTAGGCAACCACAAAAGTATCTTCTGTCTCAGCGCAGTTGCCCACTTTGGACATTTCGTGTGAATGGAATAATATAACATGTGGTCTCTTTTCGCGTGATTAGCTTTTTTTTCTACTGAGCATAATGCTTTCAGGTTTTATCTGTATTGTATAGTGTATAATACATCCTTATTTATGGATGAATATCATCCATCCAGGGATGATAGTCACTGGAAAGACACACACTTTTTTATCCATTCATCGGTTGATGGACATTGGGTTATTTTGGTCTTTCGGCTATTATGAGTACTGCTGCTGTGAACATGCACATACAGGGTTTTGTGTGGACGTATGTTTTCATTTCTCTTGGGTATGTACCTAGGAGTAGAATGGCCGGGTCAAATGGTAACTCTATATTAACAAGATACTGTTTTTGAAAAGAAAACGACCATCTCTACGGCTTTGCCTTTTCGACGGCTAATTAGAGAACAAGTTCCTGGAGGGCGGGGCCCTGCACCTGCCTTGGCAATCGTACCACTCACTCCGTGGCTCTGTTTGTGAGTTTTGAGCAGTTGTCACTGCTGATTGTGCCTATGTGAGCCTGTTGTTTGCCAGAGGGACAAAGGCAGAAATGCAGGAGAGCATCGGCCAATGAAGGAAGAAGAGAAGGTGTAACGGTCACGTCAGAGGGAGAGGTAGAGGAAGAGGGGAGGAAGGAAGGGGCTGTAGGAGTGGATGAGGCAGGTGGGGAAGACAGCATCAGGTGCGTACCACAGTTTAGGTCACCACCGAGGCCATTGCCACGTAAGGCACGAGGAACATTCAGGGAGCACAGATCCAGCCAGGGAAGCAGACGTAGCTGGGAAATCCTTCCACCTCCTCCTCCTGGCCCTGCTGTGGGGGCCTGATGGGTTAAGGGGGGCACTCATCTGGAGTTCGGGGTGACTTGTTTACCAATATCAACCGCAGACCCGAAGACTCTAGAACCACCTTCCGCAGAGGCTTCCCTCCTACTCTGGGGGCTCTAGTTTGTAGGGTGGTTTTCCGGAGCCTCCGCCCGTCAATGGTGCCCGTTGAAAACAGGAAGCCTTGTTCTGAATGGTCTAGATCAGAAAGCCGTATTAAAATCACCTTGGGAGGCTTGACAACCAAAAGGTAAACAAAGCCCAATGTCCAGCCCTTACCCCCCGCAGCCTCTTAATTGGCCGGGGCTACCCTCGTATCCTCACCGGTGGTTTTGAAAAGCTCCCACTCGTTTTCATGAACAGCCGGGATTCGTGATACTGGTCTAGAGCAGTGTGGCTCCCAATGTGGTCCCGAGACCCGCAGCTGCAACACGAGCGGGGAGCTGGTTAGAAATGCGAACTCTTGGGCCGGGGTCGTGGACTTGGAAGCCTTTGTTTCCAAGGGGCCGTGCCGGGTTCTGGAGAATTTCATAAGGAATGGGAAGAAAAGCCAACCCTTTTCCTGATTTTCTGGAATGTTAGGCCTCAGCCAGCTGCGCTCAGATGTCCCACCTGGAAGCTGGGAGACCCTTCCAAACACGGAGGGGGCGTGGGACTTGCATGTTGGAGGATGCTTTGGGAGAGGGCCCATCAGTGACCACAGGGTCTACCTGGGGCTCGGGGCCTGAGGGCAGGTAAAGGAGGAACCACAGACTCCCTCCCACCAGATGCCGGTGGTGAAGGGGCGTGGGGAGGGGTGGCAGTGACCACAGCTCGCGTCACCAGTGCTGCTCTGGAAATCCTTCCTCTCTGGTCTGGTGTGGCAGCCTGACCGGCCCTCTGCTGGCCAGTCTCCACAAGCCTTGGAGGGCGCATCCGTGTTCCTTTGCCGGACTGTAAGGCTGTTGAATGTGGGCGTCCTTCTCACCTCTGGGCCACCCGCTCTCCATAAGAGCCCCAGGGGACTTGTCCGAGGCTGCATTTTCCTAGCGAGGGATCACTTGTACGTTCGTGCAGGGATTGAGGGGGGAGGATCGGGTTGAGCCCTGGGCAGAGGGACTCGTGAACTTAGGGGGGTGCTAAAGCCCCTCTCCCCCAGCCGGGCCACCCCCTGGCACGGCCCCTGTCTTGCATTGTGTCTGGTGCGTTTACAGATCATCATCTTTGCAGGGTGGAAATCCCAACCAAGATGCGGGTGGAGCGATGGGCTTTCAACTTCAGTGAACTGATCCGAGACCCCAAGGGCCGACAGAGCTTCCAGTACTTTCTCAAGAAAGAATTCAGTGGTGGGTCTTTTGATTTCTTTCACACATTTTTTGTTTTACAATTTTTTACTTTCAGCAACACACCTGTTAGAACTGTCTGGCAAAGCTTTCGAGACTTTCCGGTAGGTGTCTTCACAGCTCTGCGCCCGCGCGCTCTTCAACAGGCTCTTCTTGGACGTGTCCTTTCCATCCCTTCCAAGGGGCTCCATAGTGGGGGGTAGGGATGAGGGGTGTTGAATCTGCTAATGAAATCCGTCCGCCTTAGCATTACTCGCATGTGCAAGGGCCTGGTCCCCTCCGGCCGCTCTCTCACTTCCTCACCCTGATTCTACCGTCAGAGTCCAAGAGTCCCCCGCCAAGCCCTGGCCAGGAGGGAAGCGGAAAAACAAGCTTTCTCTTTTTGTCCCGCAGCCTGCTTTCCTTCAGCTCAGTGCTTCTCTGCCCAGGCTGTGCATTCGGTTCAACTGGGGAGATTTTTTTTTTTAAATTTTTTTTTCAACGTTTATTTATTTTTGGGACAGAGAGAGACAGAGCATGAACGGGGGAGGGGCAGAGAGAGAGGGAGACACAGAATCGGAAACAGGCTCCAGGCTCCGAGCCATCAGCCCAGAGCCTGACGCGGGGCTCGAACTCACGGACCG